TCCATCCATCCATCCATCCATCCATCCATCCATCCATCCATCCATCCATTCAGAGATCAGCTGAGTGAGGATAAAATGTAGCTTTTTGTGTGAAACCTAACAATAGAGGATAAAACTCTATTGGGGAAAGGGAAAACTCCAGCCGAGTGTTCTATTTATTGCTGCCACAAAGTGGAATTAACTCAAATTCACAGAAAGGAGCTAGCTTTATCTCCAGGCTGATGAGATTCAGCAGCCTCAAATGAGGAGACTAGAGAAGGTGATTAAATTGCAGTCTCCACATGAACTCAGCCACGATCAACTTGCTCCTGTGAAAAAAATTTCCTTCTTCATCTCTGCTCAACCAGTATAACATCTTGGTAGTCCTGACTGGTTTCTCTGCTCCCTGTGAATGCTGAAGGTTTCTATTCGGTGCAGACCGACTGACACGCACTGACAGCCATTCCCTTCCTCATGCTCACTGCTCTTGGCTGCAGCTTCTTGCTGATCTTTTCATTCATGCTGCAGTTGTTTACAGATTGAGCATTTCCCTGCCTGTCAACTTCCTTTCATACTACTTATGCTATATTGAGTGAGTTTATGGAGGAGATCTCCTGCATCTTTCCGTACTACACTTCAAGATCTGAAGTAGGACTTCCCTGTTAAGTTCATTGGCTGTAGATAATAAGTAAGATCCATCAGATTATATTGTTGCCTTCTTTAAAAGTTTGGATTTGTTGCAGCTAAAATATAACATTGTAAAGACATCTAATTATGACAGATGATTGTTTGAAACCCTTTAATGCACTTGATGTTAGGTGGATTTAGCTTGGCATGCCCTTCCCCAAGCCTGGTGAAGTGGACATGACAATTCTCCATGTGATGTGCAACCAAAGGCATCATCATCTATCATTCTTTAGCACAGAGTCCTTGGGAAGATGCTTTACCTCATACTCCATGTCCTTCTGAGCTTATCATTTCCCTACCCTTCTAAGTGAATCAAACATTGCCCTGGTAGATTACTCCCTTTGTTTCTGAGAGGTGACTCAAATAATATTTAGAGCCATCATTGCTACTACAAGGTTACATATCCATTTCAGAAAAGTTTCAGGACAGAAGGTCTTGACTTGTTGAAGCACACGTTCATCCTGTACTGTCCCTGCTAACTTCAGAAAAGGTGGGCCGCATGGAGTGCATTTACTACAGTTTCCAGGAAGTGCTTAGTTAATGTGGGAAGGAGCACATTATCAACCTTTTGTTTCAGCCATGTGACAGATTTTCTAGCATTACCGAGCATAATGGGAAGGATGTGTAAGAAACTTAAAATACATAACATTTGAAAGATATTTGAAACAAAAGTAGTATTACAGCTGTAATTAGAAATATTTTAACATTTTAAATGTGCATCATACATATCCTTGAAAAATCAGTCATCTTAATGACCATGTTAGCACTACATTGCAACTCTTTATATGAGCAATTACTGCAGCATAGTCACATGATTAATAAAGGCAAAGAAGAAGGTGGTGCCTCTCTGATCTACCTGTAAAAAACAACTGGGTTGGTAGTTAAATCTTTTTTCAACACTAATAATGGGACTATTTTCATATTTCAGGAGTTGGCAGTACTGGTATTGCCTAGGCTCAGAAGCTCAGAAGCTAAGCAGGATTGGGCCTGGTTGCTACTTGGATGATAACCAGGGAATTTCAATGTATCCCCTACTGCCAGTTTGGAGAGCCCATAGTGACCAAGTATTGGACTGGCACCAAGAACACCCAGGTTCAAGTCTACTGTCAGCCATGGAAGCCTGCTGGGTGACTGTGAGCCAGTTGTTCTCTCTCAGCTCAATCAACTTCACCAGACTGTTCCTGTAGGGGAAAAAAATGGGAGGAGAGAGCACTATGAGTGTCTCCTTGAGCTCCTGAAGGAAAGGTGAGTGATAAATTGTGAAGACAAGGATAAAGATAAATAAAATGTGCCTGTCCTGTGCCTCTAGGTACAGTCTGCATAGAGAGAAATCAGGAAAGGTGAATTCCTGTTAGTCACCTTTGTTTCTGTTCCCTCGTGTTCTCCAGTGAAAATGGCTGGTAAATGGTGAGCATGAGCAATGCGAAGTCGCAGGGTTTGGCAGTGGGAGCCGTGTTAAGGCACCAATCTTGGCAAGGGTGCATGAGGTCAATTTCTAACCCCAGTGGCCCCCTCTCCTTCCACAACTGGGAATCCCACCTGAGATGGAAAGATCACACTAAGGAGTAGAGGCTTCTGGGGAGCACCGAGGTTGTCCATATCTGCCCCTTGGATTTCTTTTCTCTAAAACAAACATGGAATCAAGAAGTTCCTCAAATCCATCCTGTTTTGGAGATGTGTGCTGCCCCAGGTGGGCCATGTTTCAGTGTTTTGATTTTTTTACTGCTGCTTTAACTTGATTTTTGTCACCCAGAGTTAGGTGCCAAGTAGGTAACTCTGCAAATGGAATAAAATAAGCAAAATGTGCATTATTCTGAAAGTATTTTGGGATCTCTGCATTGCAATTAATGTTTGAAATGGTTGCATAAAGGAATGTGCTGCTTTAGATTCTTCTGTCTCTTTGCCTGAGATCAACTCCTCATCTTCAAAAGCTAATTTCGCAAGCCTAGGAACTGCCCTTGAATAAGATGCAACCTTTAAATAAAAAAGACTGGGCAGTCTCTTTATGTTTACTGAAATGGGGATGGAAGGATGGAGAGAGAGACACACACACACACACATATACACATATATACATACAAACAACGCTCAAACCTCCAGAATCATTAATTCGAATTACTTGCCTACGGGACTGGAGAAAAAGAGGACAGAAATTATGGGAAATGCTGTCATTGCCACTTTGATTATCCATTAAAGACAGTGACAACTGATGCTGCAGTTCAGCTGTGAGCATTTGGTGTTCATGTGTCAACAGTACTAGAGTTTGAAACTATAAAAGCAAATGGATCCTTGAGCTTTGGAGAGGAAGCCAAGGAAGGAAATGAAGGATTGCTTGCTCCCTCCTACCTGTGGCTCATCCGTCACCTTTGGATTAGATGCTGGCGGGGCCATTCTGACATTGCGGTGTCTGGCAAGAAAGATTCACATGCAGAAACCCCGCTGATCTTTTAATCCTCGCTGGTTGGGAGGCGGTGCAGTTAAAAGAGAGAAGATGAAGGAAACCAAGCTGCTTTTCTGTTGCTGCTTTGCTTCGAGTTGAACCCACTGTAAGTGCCAAACATCTGTAAGTCATGTAGAACTTTGTTTTGCCAGTGTGCTAGGTGAGATGTTTTTTAAAACAAAGAAACAAACTTCTAGTGCTGAGAGAAATGATTCTTTTTAGGAATAAAATCTGAACTCACTAATTGTTTCCTAATATTACTTGCTCTTCTGTAGTGAAAGATAGAAATGGATGGAGCAAGGAGAGAATCTGAAAATGGGTCTTTGCTGTTAGATGCCTCAGCAGGTTCGTCGTTGGTGGATCCCTTCTCACAACCATTGGACTCCATTGAATCCTGGAATTTCCATCTTCTCTCTGCTCTGATGTTCTTGGTGACCTCCTTGTCCCTGTTTGAAAATTTCACTGTCATCCTCGTCACTCTTAAATTCAGACAGTTGAGACAACCTCTCAACTATGTCATCGTGAATCTCTCAGTGGCTGACTTCCTTGTATCTCTGGTTGGGGGTACAATCAGCTTTCTAACTAATCTGAAGGGTTATTTTTATATGGGCCGTTGGGCATGTGTCCTGGAAGGATTTGCTGTCACATTCTTCGGTAAGAAAGAAACTTTCTTTTCACAAGCTTTAAAACAAGCGACATTTGCACTTTTAACACCTGTATTTTGTGTGGCTATGGGCCAGGTAAAAGGAATCTGTGTACACAATCTGCAAACTTCACAGTGGGTACACAGTTTGCATTTGTTAATACTGCCAAGTTGGCATTTGCTAATGCTGATGTTGATTACTGAATCATATGCAAGAAGATTTCTTAATAGCAGCTTTCATTTCTGATGCCAGAAAAAAGTACATACTGCAAGGCAGTCCTTTTAAATGTGTGTGTGTGTGTGTGTGTGTGTGTGTGTGTCCATATGTTCATAGAGATCTCTCTCTCAAAAAACTTGGAAGAAAAACTGCTTTTTTAGAGGGGTGGGGAATAAAACCCACTTTCATAATAATATAATTTGATCATGATGAAGTATGTCTCCCTGTCAAATAATGGTATTATAAGTCAAGACAACTATAATGTCCTTAGCTGGATTCCACTGGTCAATTAGTTTGCATCTAAGGCTACTTTAAAAAAAGCCACCTTCTATCAAATGGATCCTGCAAATTTTCCAATCAGGTTAGTATTCCTGCAACTGGCTTTTCCTGTGTTGTAAGTAAAGTCTTCTTGGAGTGAAGCTTGACTCCTGGTGACATAAGGGATATATCCATGTAGATTTCTTGGTAAAAATATAGAAGTAATTTGCTATAGTCTTTTTCTTGGTCCCTTTTTCTACTTCCTAGTCCAGTTTACAGTCCTGATTGTCCCCGTGGGTCTTCCTCCAAGTACTAAACAGGGCTAATCCTACTTAGATCTTAGTCCACACAAGTTCAGCTGGAATGGCTGCCCCCTGAGGTGAGGTATGAAGGGTAATTTCATTTTCTTCTCTCACAGCAACCCTGTGAGGCTTAAGGGATAGAACCTTGCCCAAGGCTACTAAGTGGGCTTCAGAGTGGCCATCAGATACACTGTTTTTTTCCTGGCTTTCAGTGGGAAACATAATTGTTCCAAGTTTTAAGTTGCTTTTGAAAAGTTTATTCTGTCCAACAGTTTCTTCCTATGAGATCCAAAGTAGTTGTGTTCACTGTTGGGCTCTCAATCGACACTATCTCTTTCAACCATTCTAGGGGAAATGCCAATTTTTAGCTGTATCTTCTAGCATCCATAATATAGCGCTGAATTGTTCAGCAGCGCAGATAACATCAGCAATATATGCAGCAAAAAAGTAAGTGGTAAATAGCCAATGAGAACAGCTGTAAAATAGTGCCCTAAGTTTCATATTAGTTAGATGTATTAGAGAGGTATCAATGGTATTGAATGCTGCGTAAAATCTCCAGCAAAACCAACAGAGACATTTTCCCTGTGTCTAGTTTTCAGAAAAAATAATCTTTGCAATAAATAAGGCATAGGAGTGGGGGAGGAGGACGCTCACATTTCCTTTGATTTAATTAGAAGAGTCAAGAAGACATTTAACTTTTCCTCATTGGATTCAATGGGCATTATGTATGTATGTATGTATGTTTGGAACAGATCTTTCTTGTGATAATAAACCAGTAATCGAGTAAGTATATACCATGGCAAAAATAAAATCAGAAACCAGTGTTTTCTTCTTTTGTTCTCTTGTATTATATTAAGTGTATGAAACCAATAATTGTTAATAATACTAACAATATTGCTGATAATAATGGTTTGGATGCTAAAATAAGATAACTTAGTTAATAGAAAATTTCTCTGCCCAATTTTCTTGTGGTAGTCCCCCAATCCCATCTACAAAGGCCTCTATTCTCCCCCTAATATGCTTGGATGCAGTAGGGAGACCATTGGTATGGCTGTAGTAAAGTATGCAGATACCTTTGAGCCGGGGTTTGAAAGGGTGTTTTGAGAAGCACCTTGTGGAATAGTTTGTATAGCCTTAATATTTAGCTAGCTTGCTAATCAGAATGTTGTAGGTCGTCTGAAGTCAAGATATATTATGTCCACAGAATTCCCATAATACACTAAGGGAATTACCCAATCAAAATATAAGATTAGTTGTTTCAAGATCAGTAGATATTCCCCGAACACTATGTGTTCTCTTAGGCTCATTCTGGAATTCTGTTCCTCCAATCAGTTCTTTGACATTGACCAGTGGAATACATATCTTTTTCTCAGGGAAGTCTGACCCAAAATAGAATTTAGAATTGCTTTTTCTTTGTTACCTGTTAGAATTTTCCCATCTGAACGGAGCAGATGATACACTTCCCTTGCTTTGGTAATGAACACATCTGAAGAAGTTCTTTTTGTTGTTCTTTTCTAATCTCAATTCACCATGAGCTTTAGATTTCCTGACAACATTTCTACAGTTCTAGGGCAACCTAGAGATACCCTTTCTTGGTGACTGGTCCCTTTTCCAACGACCTATACCCTTTTTCAGATTTTCACTAAGCTTTTTGTCCAGTGACATCAGCTTCTTCTGCAGTCTTCCCTTTTTTTTTTTGGTCATTCCACACTGTGTGTGAGATATTTTACCAGGAAAAAAACCAGTTCTTGCCTCTTGTTGCTAACAAAGGACCCATTTAGTCATTATTCATACAGAGTAAGGGGAGAAATGAAGTACTTTTGTAAAAGGCAACGATAACTTAATACAGGATCTGAATTATATGAAATAGGTACTGTACAATTTCCCTGCTGAATGATGATGCATAGTATAGGAGCCTTGATGTTTAAGTTGAGTTGTTAAGGGAATTTTTCTAAAAATCTACAACTGTGTGTCAGGTGAGTAACCTGCCCAAATTATAGTGAAACCGAGTGTATTCAGCACATTAAATGTCTATAAAAGATGCTTCCCCATCTAATTCTGGAATCTGGTTTTGCCAACAATTGAGGGAGGGAGAAGCTCCAGAGGCCTCAGGGCAACATTGGGAAGAAGGGCACACAGCTTCTCCTGCTGGTATCTGTGGGGGTAGGGCTGGGGAGTGAGGCATTGTTTTGATGTAAACTGTGGCCCCTGATGAATTTACTGATGCGTCACACACAAGTATAAAAGAACAGAGCTTTTGTTGTGATGTTACAATGCACATTCTATCATTTTGGTGTCATCATGGTTAGTTATGGATGTCTATGGTCTCTCTGTGTTCTGACACGGTTCTCTTATGCACATGATAACCAGTAACATGTTGTGCTGCTTCATCATCACATGAGGTCAGCAGACAGGGAAGTGTGTCTAAATATTATGGAGGAGGTAGAGAAAGAAAATTCAAAATAAGGATTCCATTTTCAGCATCAGTCCTTACAATAATTACTGTACTTCTATCCTCATTCCCTGATGTAAAGCCTCTGTGCCTGAACCTCATCTCCATGTCAGTGTTGCACTGTGGGCGCCATGCAGGACCAGGAACATAGGTTGTGCTGTATACTTCTTCAAATAGTTCACATTCCAGACAGTCCCGCTGTTTTGGAAGCAACAAGGCTATTTGAATGGTCTGACATTTGCTTTCAGTCTTTGGATCTTGTGAATTGATTTGTATCACAACTTTCCACCATGGAAATCATGGTGGGTTCCATTTCCCTCCTTTGATTGTAATGATCCTGCGACAAATAATTTAGCTCAAATTGCCCAGAGAGCTTCATGGCCAAGAAACATGGAACAGTGTCAAGGCACAAATCTTACTTACCAGATGCCTCAGACTCAGTCTCTTACATCAGTTTTGGGGAAAATCCAAGGCTTGGGAATAAAGGAACATGCTTTGGATGGGCAAAGTTACAGTTTCAACCTTTGGTGTATTCAACTAGGCTTGAGAAAAACTACTGTCTGATAGTCTGGAAAATAACAGCTACCAATCTAAATTAGACAATGTATTGATGGACCAGGAAGACAGCTTTAGATGGTCCCATAAGTGGAATTCTGAACTTAGATTTCCTTGCTGAAAAACTAACCTTATCGACTAAACTGTACTGATTTATTCTCTTGCTCTGTAATAGCTCTTATTCTCATTACAGGAATAGTTGCCCTCTGGTCGCTCGCTCTGCTTGCGTTTGAGCGCTATGTTGTAATTTGCCGTCCCCTAGGAAATGTCCACTTCAAGGGGAAGGACGCCACTCTGGGGATAGCCTTTGTGTGGATTTTCTCCTTTATATGGACCATTCCTCCAACAATGGGGTGGAGCAGCTATACTACCAGCAAGATCGGGACCACTTGTGAACCCAACTGGTAAGGCAACTCAGGGAAGTAGCCTTTATCTAACTACTTCTGA